CGATATTTCCATCCCAAACCAATCAATTTGACTTGAAAATAAGTAACAGGAGTCACTTTCTCTTTTATTGAAACCGCCATACAGACATATTTATGTTAATAACATGGATAGAACCGTACATTTATAACCAGCAATCGTTGAATTTCAATAATCGTACTGTTTGTCTTATCTTTATGCAAAACCATGTTTACTGAATAAAACAAATTGATGGCCTTCGAAAAGTATTTTGTACACTTTGGTGGTTTTCCCTCCTGGCACCCGGGAATAATGAAAAGATACTTTTACGTCACGTCAGTCGTTGGCCCGGCGTATAATGGATAATCAATGCAAATACCTACAGCCTACCGAGCTTAGGCAAATATAGAATGCAAAACGGAGTAATAACTGTAACGTACTCATGGTAAATAAATGGAAATTTGGCATTAAAAGATGATAGCATCAAATTGAAAACATGAAAAGCAAACATAAGCCACTTAAATCTATTTAGATTGCAGATCGACAATGAGGGAAAGTGGCACAATAAACCAATTCGACAGGCGAGTCATTTATTGGCCAGGTAATAGCCTAGAGTTGGGAATTAAAGTAGGGTTGACAAGGGCAATACTTTAGCCTAGTCGTGTCGCCATTCGGCTTGGCATGAACAACGCTCTTCTAAATCGTCTGGGTGTGTCCTTTGCTTTGCCTCACCATTAATAGAATACTTCTTCGTAAGACCTTTTGACCCCAGTCGATGAAAACTACCAAACTTTAACCAACTACGAGCGTTTACTGATAATTTCCGAGGCCTTATCTGTTAATTGAGATCACTAGGTCAGTGTGATGAATAATTGATGATCGGTAGTGTTACATGTCTATAGAAGGTAAAGTTTATAGGTAAAATTTGGATCTATTGACCTTTCGAAACTTGTTCTATAGCACTTTAAATATTCTAGTTTTATTTTAACAGAAAAATCAACAAGCAAAACTTTCATAAAGGCAATCTTTCATTAAATTTAAAATTGCAAATTTTCATTTTAAAAAGGTGTATTAAGATATAAATGGCTCTTAAAATTTTTAAAAAATTCTTGAAAATTTGATACTAAAAAACTATAAAATTTTAAAATTTAATTTACGTATAAATAATTTTTAAAAGAGAAAAAGATGCTTAATTTTGGGCAACCAAATTAAATTTTTATTCAAAAACATCTTCGTTCTCTAATAAAGCATTTAAATCTCATTTAATCTCAAGAATTAAGCTTTTTTTTCCCCGTATTTTTGAATATGGTGCCAAGCCACTTGCATTAAAATTCATATAAATTGCAAATTCACAAAAACATTCTGTAGTATTTTAATGGAAAAGGTCACATTTGTCATTTTATTTAGCATAGAATATTGGGTTGCAATTTTCAAATTGCAAACCTATACATACCCACCGTCGTCCGTCCGTCCTTCATTAATCTCGAGGACGGAGTTAACTAGATGAAAATCGAAATCAGCTATGGAGAGTTTAGAGTCCTGATTAACTATTGTATATACGAAACTATTGGATCCGAACGTAGAGTCACGTGATTTCAATTCAAAAAATTGTTTTTCAAATTAAAAGATAATTAGAAATTGCAGCCTGGCATTATGACGATTTTAATAATATATTCTAGTAACTTTTCTAATTTGTAAATTGTGTAATTTGCTTAGAACTTACGAAAAATGTTCCACCCGAAACGTTCAATATTATTAAAAGGATCCTTTGATGTGGGGGTACGCACAGGGGTACAAACCGGGCACTTGCCTCCCCATGTATCAGTGAAAATTCCACAAATTATAATCGTAAAAGTGACTGAGATAAGACCCTCGATCTTTCTATAACGTACTAATAAAGCCCTCCAAAAATTAAATAATTAAATAAAAAATTATTAATGTGATTATCTGTCACCAAGCATTGCGCTCCTCCTGGAAAATATGTTCTTTGATATTATAAAATTAAAAAATATGTAAATTAAATAATTTCCATACAAAATAATACTAAACAAACCTAACTTCGACCCGTCAANCGATGACTTTTTAATCTTATTTACATAATTTTAAGTCCTTAATTATGAAAATTAACTGTATAAACGTGCTTTAAAAAATTGAAAAAAAATATATATATATTATTATTGTATTTTTTGTGCTTGTGAAAGGTCAAATGTAAGCCTGGGATAGACACCATTGTCCATTACGTTACCTGCTTGTAATCGATAAACTTTCAAAAAATATACGTTGCAGCCAATTTATGACCACGAGGGGTAAGTATAATATAATATTCTGTAGTAAATACTGTATTACAACGAATCATTTATATATGTTAGAGTGAAAGAAGCGCTATCAAACCAACATATAAATTATCCTTTATACTTTTTTTCACTTGTTTACAAAATGGCGGGCAATGTCTTGGTTTACAGGTACTGTACTTAAAATTTAATATCCAAGTCGTTACAACACAGAAAAAATCCTCTTGTTTATTCTTTAATTATTCATAATAATTTTAAATAAATGGAAGAAAAAGAATGGCGGCATTATAATCGATTTTCGATTAAGAAAAAATGAGTTACCGGTATCGAGTAGTGTGACGTAAATCTGTAAATACGTAAAGATTCCTGAAGGAAAAAATGACGTAAGATTGGTGATTACACAATGACGTTTCCGCATGTTTCAATGTAATGAGAAGATAATCACAAGCTCTATACAGTACATAATTTATCTTATTTAAATCAGTAAATGATTAAGGTATATGGCATATTGCAAGGCCCCCGATGTGGAGAGGCCCCAAAATTTAGTCTTTTTATGTAAAAAAGCATGATGTGAAAGTGGTGTAAAGCTGTTTTTGGTAGTGAAGAAGGAAAAAAAAGAAAAACTTATATAGCCTATATATACAGTAAAACCTGTTCAAAACGGAACTTTAATGAAACGGAAAGCTGCCTAAACGGGAATAATTCTTCGAAACGCAGCAATTTTTTGAGTTAAAAAACCAAACCGGAAAAAATATTCGGCTTATACAGGTTTTACTGTATATACATTCGTCTGCCGATAATGGAAACCTCTAAACAGCGGCCAATTTTCAGAAACTTTTTTTTGGAACAAAAATGCAAACAAAATAATCTACAAGAAGTAACCATTTTTTATGTGACCATCAGTGGCCGTGGTTCAGAGGTTTGACTTTATATATAATGATGTTGTTGTTATTTTTGGGTCGAAAAATGAAACTTCGACAAATTCAAAAAGTTCGGGATTTTTTTCTGTATGTATGAATGTTAGAATGTGTGTGGGGAGGGCACGATTTTGTTCACCCATTTTGAAGCTTAATAACTCCTGTTCCTTTTGTCAAAAATTTTACAGGGAGACTCATCTATTAAGGGGATAGATGCTATTAAATTTTGGTGGATAAAGATTTTACTCGTTATTAGCATTTACGATTGTTTTGTAACAGGCGTCTCTACTCTGAAAATTAAGCTTTTTGTTACTTTATAATAATAATAATAAGTTTTTTAAAAGAAAATTTCATAACAGATGGCTCTACACACCATTCTTCAAACGTTTTTGCCGGGAATGTTACGCAACTCGTTGCTGGACTCATTTATTTCTTTTGTCAACACAAACGAATTCGCATTAAATAATCTATTTTATAGATCCTTGAGATTTTCGTAAGTATATAATATAATGATTAAATTAATCAAAATAAAATTTATACAGTTTATGAATTATACATTACACTTATACAGTTTATTAGGTAAGTGTATGTAGGCTATGTTTAATATATAAACTTTCAATTTGAGTTTATATTGAGATTATGAGGCCCGAATAAGAATGTTTTTGAGGCCTCGTTATATTAAAGTGTTATGAATTAGCATTATATTTAAAAAAAATAAAATTTGACAAAAAAAATACAGTATTTTTTCCTTAATGCACAACAAATGCAGTGGAATGAATAATTTGTAACGTTTTTGAGGCCTTATCATGGGCAGGCCTTACATTAAGGCCTTCTGGTCTTTCTTTTATATGTAATATATTATTATATCAGATTCAATAACTGTTTAAAAGAAATATTTAGTAAATAAGCGACTGCTTTCACTCAAATTTGTTACTTCCAAATGGACATTTTGACAAGTTTACATAAGTTTAACGTAAACTTTTTCTAAATTTATTCTTAATAAAAGATTTGAGCTTTCTGTTACATCTCAAAATATGACAAAAATCAAAATAAATAAAATATCTCCATAAATATCCATAAAATTACCCATTTCATAGGCTGTATACTGTAAAAGTGTAAATAAATGTGTACATCACCATAAATCTCTTGCAAATACAATGTTCTAGTAATAGAATTTTCTACTCGTTACAATCAGATTATAACGATGACTTTTTAATCTTATTTACATAATTTTAAGTCCTTAATTATGAAAATTAACTGTATAAACGTGCTTTAAAAAATTGAAAAAAAATATATATATACATTTAAACTAATGTATCAAGGATAAGTGAATACAAAAAATAAAAATCTTTACATGACATATTTTTGGAATACATCTGCATTCAAAATAAAGGAAATAAATCAAGAAAATACAAACATTAAGCATCATGAATCATATTTTTCCCTTTCCTTTGTAAAAAAAAATTCTTTCTTTGAAGATTTACTTTTATTTTTAGCTTTAAATTTTATCTTCTCCTAACTTAACGGATATTTGAGTACAGACTGTATTAGGTGAAGGGGAAGGACAGGCCCTTCTCCTTCACATAATAATGATACGTGTAAAAGTATGAGGCCCTAAAATATAGACTCATAACGCGAGGCCCTAAGCTGCAGCTTGCCTAGCTTATGAGCAGCAGCTTTCTCTAGCTTAAAATATATAACGTTAATTTCTGTAGAATTTAAAATAAAACTAACTTTTTCAGGATGTATTTCATATTCCTGTGCATTTTTTCTTGTACACAAAGGGAACTGTGAAAGAAATTTGTGTGTTGTCAAAAGGGTTGATTGTCTTATCTGATGCTCTTCTCCGGGAAATGGCATCAATCAGTTCCGTCCAGCTTGTTCTCATAACTTCCTCTTTGTAATTATTATAATACATTGGAAATAAGACATGAAAAGCTTATTAATATCGTTCCTCTTCGTCATTTCACATGTTTCTTCTAAAAGAAAAGGTAAGGGCACGTCATAATATCAGAATCATTGAGCTTGTTAATTGATATACCTAATACTATTAATTCTTTCAAGATGGCGGCTGGAGCAATTGGTCCGATATTAGCGATTGTTTTACATCCGATTGCAATAATCCTTTCACATTCGGCTATCAGTACCGTATTCGAGCCTGTGTTAATCCTAGGCCTTCTGGAGGAGGTTTCATGTGTCAGGGGGAACATATAACCGCGCAAATGTGTTTTGAACCAGTTAATTGTCCAGGTAAAGCTCTATTCTCGAATTATTCGGTACAGTAAGCCTATCTTCTTTAAGACCTTTAAATTGTTTAATTTTTAATAATTCGTTGTTTTGTAATGTTTCTGAACTCGATCTGAGACATTACATTATACTTTTCGTGCCACAATCTAATACACCAATATTGAATTTGAATTTTTTTCTTCAGCCAATCAGAAAGCATTTTTACACTATAAAACTATACTTAATTGGCTAATAACTTATATTATTTTACACTTGTTTAGAATATTTTAAAATTAAATTATATTATTAATAAAAATACAGAATTTTAAATAAATGTGTTTTATAATTATAGTCGCCATCTTGTATTAAATTTTTTAACACAAGATGGCGACTTAATCGTCCAGCATTAGTCTAAATTACTTCGTATAGGCAATGAATGACCCGGATGAATCTGACGTTATAATTTAATTAATTAAAATCTTTAAAAATTTATTTTTAATTTTAAAAAATTTCCTTTTTTTATTATTGTTTTTAAAACTAGAGTATAATATTTTATCAGTGTTTACAGTCCCGCATATAATAATTATCTCATTTAAAGGAGATCCGTAGTGCTGCCATCTGTCGGTAAAATTTATTAACCATCAGAGAAAATTATTTTTAAAAGAATTATATAAATAAAATAACTTTAATATATATATATATATAATTAGCAATATTTTAATAAAAATTTTCAAGTTGACGGAGGATGGAGCGAATGGGGAGAATGGAAATGTTTGGATAGTTTTATGACAAGAAAGCGAACTTGTACTAATCCAACACCGAAAAATGGAGGTAAAATCTGCAACGAAAAGTTTAGCAGAGAAATTGTTCAAAGTGACGAAGACGAAGAAGAATTCAGTAAATAAATAAATTTTTTCTTGTTTATTATTATTATTATTTTTTTTTTTTGCTTAAATTTTCAGCCATATTTTCGCACGCTTATAAATAGCAAGCAAACCAATAGCGTAGTCCGTTTCATTTGAAACAGACTTTGCTATTTGTTTAATTGCTTAGTTGTTGCTATTTAGCGACACCTATTGTTTAAAAACTAAAATAAATAAATAATAATTTCAGAGAAAATATGTTTGAAGAAGCTTACAGATGATGAGGTGAGAATCTTACAATAAAATTCTTGTGTATATTTACACATTTCCTTAATTAAATGTGTTTTCTTCGAAGGATTTCATGGGTTCTGGAAGTGGAAGTGGATCTGGAGAAGGAAGCGGGCTTGAATCATGAATTTTTTTTTGGCCATTTGAATTACAGCAAACTTCTCAACTTTATAAAATTTTGTAAAATTATATAATTTTAACATATAATTAAACATATTTCCAACAAACGAAGAGTTTTATTTAAATTAACATGAAAATATACAGTGTTTATTTAAACACTATCCTCATTTAATGGACTTTTTATGGTTTATTAATAAATGTGTTATTGTTTCTGAATAGCTAAATATACGTAAAAATCGTTATTGTTTGCATATTCCAATTACATACTTGGCCGAATTTATGTTATTTATGTGCTACAATTAAAAAATCAATACCTTGATCAATAACAGAACAATGGGAAGTTTAAGAAAATTTTAGTTACGGCATACATTGTCAGATGGCGCCAGCGGATAGAAATTTATTTTGAGAACACCAAAATGGCTGATTTGCGTAAAAGTTTTAATTATTGTTATTTTCATTATTATTTTATGGGTATTGTTTACTCGAATAATAATTGTTTTTTGTTGAATATATAGCAAACCTCGAATATATGTAACGCCCTCATAAAAAGCGTTACCCTCGTAAAGAGCCAGTTAATACTTGTGAATAGATCTCCATAAATAGTAAATCGAGAAACCTTTAGTATGTGTGAATTATTAGGTATAAATGGCATTATTATATCAAGTCAAGTGACTTTTAAATCCTCAAACTTGTGTAAGACTTTATTACTGTATATAATTCTTATTGCTTGAGGTATTTTAGTTCAGCGCTGCTCTCTATTTAGTAGCAATTCCTGGGGTAAACAAATCGCATTAAATCGAGGTTTGATTGTATTTATTAAAAGCCCTTAAACTCCGAATTACATGAAATAATTCAGGATATCAAGAGACCTTGAACATATACTGTACAGCATATAAATAAAAAATTAAGCATTTTTTTCTATATTAAAACTTAATAAATCATTGAACAATTAAAAAATGTATTGATATACATATGCGAAAAAAGGGAGATTAATTTTTATAGACAGTATTAAACTAATGCTAAAGGCAAGTTCAACTTAATCTAGTTTATAAAAAACACAATAAGGAGTGCTATAAGGAAGTAGAGCATAGCAAAAAACATATTTAACTATCAAAACTAATACAGGTATATATAAGAAAGACGATAATGATATTATTGTTGATGGTTAAATGGGGCATACCGATATAAAGCCAATTGCTTAAAAAAATTCAACAGATTTCTCGAAAAAATACTTGCGTAGATGATGTAACAAATTACCAATAAAACAATCTCTTTATTTATTTATTTGGTTAATTAAGTACTCATCTGTCGATGAACAAACTACATTAAATGATTTAATGAAGCATTTCAATATGGCGTCAATCTGCTGTAGTGTATTTGCTATGTGTTACATTGTACTAGAGGAACTTTCCCTGAATAAAAAGTAAGTTTTCGAGACTAAAACATGTAAAAAATTGAAATTTTCAAGGTGATTCTCCCTTATTTTATTGAGGTCATAAAAAATTTGATCAGAAGTCTGGCACAAGCAAGCGTAACGCCATAACAATATTCCATTGTTATGTATATTTTTTACTATACGCTACAAATATTAATAAGAAGAATATTCATAACATAATAATTTATATAAAATTATCTAATATTTTAAAATTAAATATTGCATTTAGACTTTATTTTGATATGATAAACCAAGGTCAGGAGTGCATGAGATTCCAAACTGAGATGTCAGATGTCATCGGTGCAGAAGGTTAATAGGAAATATGATCATCTTTTATTGCCTTTCGTGGGCTACATATTTCTTCAATGAGTCAAAATTCTACTAGCGACGAAAGTATTTACGAATAATTTTAAAAATACATTCTTATTGTTTACGTGTTGAAAGGCAATACTTTAGTAAACTTGAAAATTTCGATAAGATAAATGAAATATTTGGATTTTAAATGTCTTCTTGTAATTATTACTTTTATATGTCACACATTTTAAATGTATACGATTTATAAGCAGATAAAAAAGTAAAATAAATTAATTACTAATGAATTTAACTCATTACAATTTTTAAAATTATTTTATCTTAATATATTAGATTTGCCTAAATTTCTCATAAATTAAAAAAGTAAAAGGCTGTTTTTTCAAGATAAATTATAACATTTTAATTTCGTTATTCACTTTATAATCATAAATTTCCAATATATTTATTTTATGAGCGTGTGTGTCATTCGGACACTTCAACGACACCAATACCGACTTATTGCAGGACACGACATATGCATGGCCTTGTACGTGTAACAAAGCCAATGTCGAATATTTATATAACAAAAACATCCTAAATCGATCTGGAAAGTGTAACAAGATTGTTATGTCGGATCCGCCTTATTAGGTTTGTGTGTCAGTCGAAGAGCGACCTATTTCGGCGACACTTCCTGCTGGCAATGACGATGTTCCCAAATTCTACATTTCTCTACAACAACTCTTTGTTTCTCATTCATTGCCGACACTTTTTTTATATATAACAACGCGCGTTGTATTATATAATATAAAGTAAATCGAGAGATAATGTAATTTAATTATATATACATATAAAAACAGAACACAGTTTTACTTCTGATAATATTTATTTGTCCAAATGAGAACATACCACTGGACGACCAATTAGCAAATGGCTGCAAAGCAGCAACGAACGATGTCCACCTAAACTACAGACATCAATAGGAGAGATATACGAAGTTAAAACACATCTACGTGTTTATGATACAGATGCAAAGAGGATAAAGGGAGAAAAACAAAAAAGATTCTTCAGTGGGAGCCTCTGAGTATTAACTGATTGTAGATGGGGGATGGAGAATCGAATCGAAAATCTTTACTTGCCAACTTTCTTGAAAAGAAATTAGAAAAAAAGCAAAGCATTATCTGTTGAAAGTTTTACTTTTCTATAATAATTACTATATATTTTTTTTTATTTCAATGAAAGATTTGTTCTAATTTTGATTGTAGGACGCCGAGTTAAATAATTTTTCGGTGGGATGCATCCACGTCCTACTTTCGATCAGCGACTCCAGATGGCGACACCTACGATTTCGTTGTAATTGGCATTACACTGTGCAAACCATCCCGCACTGCAGGTTACAGTCGTTTCGTTTTTGTATTCCGCTGACTTAAAACGCTATGCCCTTTGCCTTTTACATTCGCCTTTTGACTGGAATGATTATAACGGAATGATAATGTTTCTGTTGTGTAAAGATCTGAAAAAGGGGTGTACTAAGTTGGAAAAAGAGAAATAAATTCCGCTTCTTACACGGAAATATATATATATAAACAATAAATAAATTATAAAAGTTCTGTACATTTTTTTTTTGTTTTGCTTTTGCGATTACGACCGCGCTTGCGTATCCTGTTTGACCTCTTCTGATGCCATATTGTACGTGCCATCCCCCTCGTTCCCGCTTTCCGATTCGTTTCTCGATCTCATTATCTGTAGAGAATTAGGGGAAAGAGGCTCTTCTGTTTCTCCCATCAGATCGGTCATGGGATAATCGAACCCATTGCTCTTATCTAAATCCATCCCGTCCTTCACTACGTTGGGACGACAAGATGTGGTTTTCCAATGTGTCCTCAATCCAGAAGCGCTGATGTACTTTTTGTTGCATGTCTGGCAGGTGTAAGGTCTCTCGTTCGTGTGCAATCTTTTGTGCAGTTTTAGATGCACAAATTGTGTGAATTTAGCTGGGCATAAGTCGCAGGCGTACGGTTTTTGTCCACTGTGCAGCCTGAGATGAGTCTTGAGATTGCTCGTGCTGCTGAAACGTTTGTGGCATATTTCACACTGATGAGGCTTCTCTCCCGTGTGTACCAAATGATGCTTCTGTAGATGAGCCAGTTGGGTGAAACTCTTTCCACAAATGGAACATTTGAATGGTCGTTCCCCCGAGTGAGTACGCAGATGTACTTTTAGATTCGAAAGTTGTCCGAAGGTTTTCATGCAGACGTTGCATTCGTAGTGCATTTTACCATCTTTCTTTTTGAGCGGATAGGGAAGAGATCTGTAACCTCTAGAGTTGGTTGAAGAGGAATGAGGCGGATAACCGTTCGACATCTCATCGGAGGGTGGAGGAGGATGATGGCCATTAAATGGGCTCTTGTTTTCCATTTGGTTCGTTAATCTGGGAACCATCGCCATCTGATGAGGTGGATAATCCGGCATGCTTGGATAATTGGCGGCTGGTCGTGTTGGTAGTGGTGAATGTACTCCTTCTGGAAGAGCATACGCGTACATGTTGAAATGAGCGGATGAGAACATGGGCGAAATTCCGTTAACGTATAAATAAGCACCGGGAGGATTGGGAATGTAAGAGGATTGAGGGCTGGTCGCCGTAGATACGGGATGCTGATGTTTATCCGTCGAATCCGGACTGTGCATTTCTGGACTGTTACCTGCAGAAGTTACATAACGGAAGCTCTTTTTGTGAGGATATATGATGCTCGTATCCGCAGAATTAATCGAGTCAGGCTTAGGCATAGATTCGCTGGATATTATAACTCTTACTGATTCTCTGACGGATTGCTCCCTAGAATCAGGCGATGTTCCGCCTTCCATACTTGGATAACGCTGCAATAACAAATTCTCCAAGATACCTGTAGACGAAGGTTTAGGGCTCGTCCTTTGAGTGTCATAAAGGGGATATTCGGGGTTTTCGGTAGATTCAGGAAACTTCGGACTGCTTCCATATTTAGGACTATCGGGCTCGGGCACAGAATAAGTCTTTTCTTTTTTATCTTCCCAACTATCCTTTTCTGGAGAACTTTTGCTTCTGTAATGATAAGCTTTCATCATCTTGATCTTAACTTTTCGAAATTCATTTTTGGAATGATCTTCTTCAGGCGGTTCTTCTTTCTCGGGCTCCTTTGGTTTATTTTTCACGCTGAAATCTAAAACGTAATTGTTATCCATATCACTGTCGCTGCTGTCTTCAGGAGGGGTCAAGATATCTTCTTGGCATCCATTGCTATGGTATCCCTCATCGCTCTTAGTGCTGCCTTCGGTTGGTGTTCTCTGCTGCAATCTTCCATCGTAAGGAGGGCTCGGTTCTGGCTGAGACTGCTGCCCTGGAAAACAAATATGTTATGAGTAACATGCGAGAAGCCAGCTGTTATCCGATACCTGTACAGTTTATTTAACGACGACTGCTTGTCTGCATTCGACTAATAACAACAATTAGCAGATGATAACATTAAAGAAATCTAAGGTTTTCAAGCGGTGGAATGTGCAAAATAATTTCATCTTTTAACTATTATTAACTCCTATAGAAGTTGTAGTTAGCGTGGATTTTATTTTTAAAGCTTCTTTTAATTAATTTTATATATATTATAATTAAATTTTTAAATAATACTGAAAAATCGCCACCAAAATATAAATTTGCCTTCTAAATACCGTACTGAACACGAGGATAAAACAAAAGTGAAAGTAAAATCGAGTGGTATGTTTTTCCTGCTTAAGCAAATTTATAATTTCACTTTTGCTTAGTGATTATAACGCGCAGCGGTAGCATTTTAATCAATCTAATCGCACGATAACTTAAAAAAAAAATAGTCTAGATACTTACTTATCCTTTGCAGCATCAATTCCCCAGTCAAAGGATAATTGAGCCTTTCTGCAAATTCTCGGCAATACCAGACCAAAAGTTCCTGATTTGGCAATATGGGCCTGACGGTATAAAAGTAGATTTGCTGATCCACCTGACATGCTACTAGATTTTGTTTCTCGCTGGAGTAAGCTGGATTGACATATCTCATCCAATTGGCCTTGGTGACATCAAACCCATCGATGTAGTAGTACTTGTCTGGCGTTTTGTACACCTGCAAATGCATAGATTGTAAAAAATCTGTTAAACCGTAACTCATGGCGTGCTATAAGTTTCGGTAATGGCATCGGTTTGCCAGCTGCTACTATCGCAACAAACGGAGTCTCAGTATAAGTCTCGCTGTTCGCCCGTAATCTGGAGGGGGTGGAGTTGAGATTAATAAATTCCGTCTCTAGATAAATCCGGTTATAGTGCAGATGTTTACGCATTTATTTTGATGACGCTAGCTTCTATGTTTAGTATAGAGTAAATAATATTTAACCCAAACACATTCCCTTTTTGTTCGGTTCTGTTATGAATAAACATCCCGCATATTACAGGAAATGTACTTACCCTCCAGAAATATTTTCTGTTGGAATTTGCTGGTACCTTATCTGCCTCATACGTTTCTCCTGTAAGAGGACCAAACCTGGTACCTCTCGGAATGTAATCTGTGCTCCAAACACCCAGCACCTAAAAATATAAAATAAAATCGAATTAAATCTTGATAATACTGTAAAACAACTGATAAATCACGAGAGAAACCAGTCCGTCAAGCAAAATTCTACAGTAAAATGGATATCCGGACCTACTCCAGCTTAAGATCATGATGGCCCTTCCTAAGAAAAATACTAATAATTCGAGGAGCACATTTTTCAGCAGATTACTGAGAAAGATTCTCACTGTTTAACAAATACAGTAGTCGGTATCACATCATATCCGTTACGAATTTGCTACCGATTTCGTGCAGATAATTAGCTACATCAGGAATTCCGGAGTTGCCGTTTTAATTCGTCATTTCTAAGCCATCATAGCTCTCAAGTGTTATGACCTTAACAGATGAGCCATACAAGTTGAGGCAGTCCGAAGAAACGGTATAATTTCAGCGAGGCGTTACTTCCCATCAGGTAAACAAGAAGATTAAGCAACATACGTGTGAGTGTATATATGTATATATTTATATAAGTAACGGTATTATTGGAAAGATTACGCAAAGCAACCTTGATAGCAATGCACGTGTAAAGAGAAAGTTGAATGTTCTACACAAACTTGCACACTATTGACCCGAACTGTGCAGATAACCAATGTTGACTTAGCCTTGAAAAATTATCGGGCCACTTGCAGATAACTATGTCACTGACTCTGCTTCTTATCGGCTCTGTTTAGAGTTCACTTATATGTTAGAGGTGCTGATAACTCGAGCTTCGCAGTGAAGAAAAGGGTATAGAATGCACACACAAACTTAATTTCAAATTTGATGATAAAACACAAGTAATCGACACTTCCGTGTTTGAAACCTTCGTGAAATAGCCTATATAAATGTGCATTGATGCGACTCTTATGCAACTTAACAAAACTTGTTCCCTGAGCTGCATGATTATACGTTAGACTAGATTCGATCGTTGGCTTTCTTACGTCACAATTAATTCTTTGACGAAAGCAACGAGTAACGGGCGTAGATTAATGACGTAAGTTATCGCAAATAGTTAAGACATAACGGACAACTTAACGGTACTCCCTACAGAGTTCAGACCTTGATACGGCTTAGTGCTGGCAATTGAAACATTGTATATACACAAGAGTTTATCTAAGATAAGGTGACATTGAATAAAGATGGCGTCGCCTTGAACCTCATTCGCACCTTTTCCACTCGAGGGAGCCACCGCATTGATAGACGAGACCTTGAGTGTAGAGTCGAAAATGATTAAAAAAATACTTAATTTTTTCATAAAATTAATTAAAATTTTGATTTTTTTTCTAAGCCCGTATTAAAATGGAAGGACAATAACGCAGTGTTGGTAACAGGAAAATTGAGAAATTAAATACTTACATCGCTTAGAGTTTGTGAGGGTTTGAGGACCAAGTTTCGAGGCAAACTACTTTCTGCTCTGTTGGTTGTACCCTCTTCACTAGGCTGATCGGGAACCAAGTACACTGCCAACTGCTGAAAGGCATCCTCCCTAATGTTGGTGATGTCCCATTCTCCATCTTCCATCCTATGTACCTAGAACACAGCAAAAGAAAGGTTTGGAGTGTAAACTGCTCCACAAAGTGAAAGAAATTCATCTGAAGTCGGTCCAGATTCAATACAAGATTACTTAACATCAGCTACTATATCTAAAATAGAGGTTTTAACGTTTTAACGCTCGATTCAACAGAAAATGAGTAAATATATTAATGTATTTTATTTTTCAAGGAGTAGTTTTAATCGCACATTAAATTAATGTATAAATAGCAATAATTATAACAAAGTTTTATGCCGAAAATAATGAAAATTTCTGTAAAAATACAGGCATTTTAGGTCAGTTTAAGGGTCACTAAGTGTCAAAGATCAGTTTTTTCCTGTCTAGATCGTTTTTATTATAAGAAAGAGTCAAAAATAAATGCCAAAATATTAAAATTCCTAGCATCTGTTCAATTATTGCATTAATAAAATGCAACTTTAATCTTCTCTCTTCTGCCACAAACAATATTTGCTGTGTGCTTCTTGTCTGCTTACCACTGCGAAGAATTGCAGAAATCTAATAAAAGAACTCGACTAATTGCATAAATTTTCGAAAATTTACCTCATTGGGTATGAGAAATCTCATGACATTCCTCGGCTGAGTAGAACACGAAACACAATGCAGACACATCGAGCACAGTTTTAAAAGTAGCAATCGGTGTGCCAGATCACTCTCTCTTATCTGCCGGAGAAACTAATCGTCATGAGATTACACTCCACCCTTAGCGAAAAAAAAATAACTAAAAAAAAAGAATTAAAAAAATTTTAACGGAAAGCGCGTCGCTACTATACTGCACACGTCACCTCCAATAATCGAGCCTTTAAAAGTCACGTGTAGGACGTCACTTCCGTTATTTCCTCATGGAAATACTCTTGGCAATTTTTGGATTTTGTCCTGTAAATCCCGTTACTAATCTAAGTTTCGGGTCTTTAAAAGGGTAGCAGACGAGGATTAATAATTTAGAAGTGTGGAAAGAAACATAATGGAGTAATGAAGGGTTGAAACGTTACCTCCCTTATACCTTTCCAGTGGCCGTGCGGCCCTGCTACTCACCTTTGGTAAGGTCACCAGTCGAACACATCCATCATGTATTGGCCTAAAGGGGGCCAATCGGACTGCGAGTTACGACAACTCCACCCTGTTTTGTCGACGTTACAATAGAATCTGTAAGAAGAGAATTGAAAAGCAGTGAGGCCAAATCGATATATTTTCAAATAATTGTTCTTGTATTAGTATTAGAGGGGATCGTAGAAGCCAATCATTAATTCTGATACCAAACTGGTATCATTATCGTGCTAAGGATACAAAGTATAGACCTACGAAGGTCGCAATGTGAATGGACGATACCGGCTATTCATTTTATCGAAGGAATAAAGGAGATAGCCTTAGCAACATGGTGGAAATTGTAGTTTAAATTAATCATAAAATTTCTTCATTCTAAAAATAAAATAATTTCAAAGATGTGTTTTTTTATTTCCTCCGGCTAAACCAATTTTTCTTCCTTTCCAGCCATCCACTTTTTACACGTATTTAAGCTTAAAAAATCTTATATTAATGTAGAAATTGTTCCCGAGATTTTAATGGGAATTTTGATACGCGATACATATCGAAATTCCCATTAAAATCTCGATTTATGGCCAAATTCACCTGTGAAATTCGCCATCGATAGTCTTTAAGATGCACGACGTTCGTCCAAATAAGATTTATTATAATTTATATATATGTATAAAACCCTCTTTTTTCCTCGACTTTTTCAACAAATTAGTAAGAAAAATCAAAAATTTTTATTAAATTTCGATGATAATTTAAGAACGATTTCGAAACACATGCGATGAATTTGTCCATTTTCCAGATAAGATTTTATTATTAATAATAACTCGTTGCAAAAGTCACCCCTTTTCTCATTAATTCTATTGAGAAATTCAATTATCCGTAATCTAGTTACTCAATTATTACTCAATTACTCATAAACAGTGACGATTATTCCATAAAACATAACCACGGATGATCGAAAGTGTAGTTTTTATGGGCAAAGAACGGAATTCTTCATCGACTTTTCTGATTTTAAATCTTTTTAAACAGCTCTTAAATAATTAAATTCGACGAAATGAGTAAGATAAATCTTACCATTTATGGTCTACAATCAGCATCCGAATTTAAATTCATTTTCCACGTAAATTTGTCACATCGCGCCATGATTCCTCTTCATTCTTAATCGAATTAGCGAAGGATTTAAAGGATTTAATAATTAAAGGGATACATTTCCTTAATCTCACTTATCTCGGTTAATCGAAGTCGAGAATTTAAATCATTTACGGCTTAAAAATTACGTTGAAAGTGGCGAACAAATCCGACAATATGAAGAAAGTCGAATGACATATTGTATATCGTCCTTGAATATTTCTTCTTCCCAAGCCGATAAGCCAAGCGTGAAACTTGGAATAGATTAAACTCGTTTCCTATGTAATGACTGCAAAAATTATAATTATCTGTTTACATCTTTAACGTCCAGAAAGACCAAAACGGAGCCAAATTGAGCCTTGGGCTAACTACCTGTCGCCATCGGAGGATGCGAAACTTATTTTTTAAACAGTTTTTTTAAGCATTCTCGTGACATCTTATCAAAATAACTTTCATCTGTCGTGTAGCCAATAGAGTCTTGTTTAAGATAAATACCTCATACACTTATTTACACTTGGAATTTTTAATTAAAAATTAAAAAAAAAAATGAAGTGATGCGACTCGTTAGCCTTCGTCGTCGGTAATAAAATGCCACGTAGTAAATAAACTTTCCCTTTTATTATTTCGAAATAAAATATAAAAATATCGATAAAGAAGTGAAAAAAAATTATGATATTGTTAAGCACCTCGATAACTATATAAGCATAGAGTTGTTACAGAGATAAGGAAGATAAAATGATATTTTCTCTTCCAAATGTTACATAACTGCATGGACAAGAAATATTGATTATTGTTACAGTCAAACCTGTGAACGACGGCCACTGATGGGAAAATGAAAAAATGAACGTTGTTAAGAGGTTATTATTTTATACGTTCCCGAAACGTGTCTACAGTTTAGAGCAGTGGTTCTCTTCTCGCGGACCACTAAAACCCTCCACAATATGATGGATCTCGTACTATTGCTAAAAGCGGGTTTAGCGTGGCCGTCATTGAAGGTTTAAAGCGAAAAATATTGAAATTATTTACTTCATTCTACTTCTAGGTCTGTTTTTCTAAAATAATTCCTGTATTAATTTGAATTAAAGATATTTTTCCACGTTTCNGAGTAAAAAAGTAAAAAAAAAAAATACGAAGGGAAAGATCTCGGGAAAGTACGCAATATTTAATTTTCTAACATTTTTTTTCTTTCTTTCTTCTTGATGGATCTCGTACTATTGCTAAAAGCGGGTTTAGCGTGGCCGTCATTGAAGGTTTAAAGCGAAAAATATTGAAATTATTTACTTCATTCTACTTCTAGGTCTGTTTTTCTAAAATAATTCCTGTATTAATTTGAATTAAAGATATTTTTCCACGTTTCTGCGACTTAAACGTTGTTTTGAAGCGCATCTTCTTCAATTAGTGGTATCTTCTGCTAATTATGCTGTAGTTGACTTTAAATACGTTTTTATTTTAAAAATATGTTTTTAAAATAATAATTTTCGTCCAATTTTTTTCCTGAAAATCCATTTTTAAAAGGGTGTTGCGTCTTAAATTCGAAATAATAAGACATTATCTAATCCTAAATTAAAATGCTTGCAGACGGATAATCGGAGGTGAAAGATAATAAAATATCTAAAAAATAGGTATTGCTAGTGTTAAAAAATATATATAATTCTTCCTTCTTTTTATGTAGGAGATATTTCAAACGATACGAATCAAGTTTAGGCATTTATCACAAGCGTAAACAGTTTTAAACTTGCCTTTGGGCTATGCATGCTTTCGTTCCATCTGTACGCGGAAGATGCTTATTTTGTTAGTAATTGTTTACATTTTAACTGTAAGATATTGTTTATTTCTTAAATATTGTGCGAAAGAAACCGAAAATAAGTGAAGAATTAATATAATTATAGAAAAATTGAAGCATAAAAGTCTTTGAAGGCGTGTAGGACGTCACTTCCGTTATTTTCTCATGGAAATACTCTTGGCAATTTTTGGATTTTGTCCTGTAAATCCCGTTATTAATCTAAGTTTCGGGTCTTTAAAAGGGTAGCAGACGAGGATTAATAATTTAGAAGTGTGGAAAGAAACATAATGGAGTAATGAAGGGTTGAAACGTTACCTCCCTTATACCTTTCCAGTGGCCGTGCGGCCCTGCTACTCACCTTTGGTAAGGTCACCANTGCGAAAGAAACCGAAAATAAGTGAAGAATTAATATAATTATAGAAAAATTGAAGCATAAAAGTCTTTGAAGGATCACCAGCCATCACTGACTATAATTAATTCGCAAATTTAAGCGGGTGTAAAGGCTTTTAAAGGTAAAAATTAATTTAAAAAGTTCTATTTTTTATCTTTAAACCTTTATTAATTAATTTCTGTTATCTTCCTACGTTAGGAAATTCTTTAAAAAATATATTTTG